ACATATATATACATATATATATAAATAGAAAACGCGCGCGAAAGAAAGGGAGAAACGAGATCGCCAGGAGAAAAAGAATGAACGCTATTGTAATTTAAATACCACTACTAAATTATTATTACGATATAGTAGGTATATATATGTGTATATATATATATATATACACACATATATATATTATTGTAAATACCTATACCCGAGATAATCGAGATGGTATATGGTGGTAACGTGAAATCATGGACGAAGTATTCGGTCGTAGTATTTTCTTGATCGTGTCGAGCCACAGATGTATGACGTAACGATGTTTGTATTAAGTTCGATGCAAAGAAAGGATCGTTACTTTTGCATTTTGCTTTCTACGATTGGTCTATGCCAATCTATAGAAAACTGAATGCGTGTACACGCGTGTATAGATAAGAAAAACTGGACAGGTTTAAGACAATATCGCAAAGAATCGCATCGTGAAGAAAAGAAATACGTATTACCTTGACGATAAATGCAGAACAGGTTTCACTCCACTCCAGACCAACGAAAACGCCTCGTATCGAACTACTTTCACAAAGACAGTCGGATAACGAAAATATCACGAGAAAAAAAATCATTGAATGGCATCTTTTCGATCACATCATGTCGCGTTGAATTGATAGATTTGATATAGACGAGGGAATGCGATATAATCGCTCGTCGATTACACACAGTACTTATACGAGTGAATAGAAGAAATCGTGGAAAATATAGAAAAGAGAATCGTATCAAGGGTTACGAGACAATGAAACAAAGAAAGGTTAGAAAACGCGAGAAGAGTTTATACGTACAACTGCGTATCGTCGCAATGGTTATTAACCTACTAACCACTTGTTTCGGTGGTCATCGATCGTGCAGCGATTATCGAATCGTTTCGCCATCGTCGATTGCTCGATTTCCTTCGATTTGACGAGTGGAAGGATCCATTTTTGCGTTCTTCGTTTCCTTTTTTCGTTTATTCGTAGAATGTGTCGAGCGATATTTACGACATACCGGTTGATCGGGTATAATAATTAGCATGGATACGCTTTCTACGAGCTATTTTTCCTACGACAAATCCTGTGTTTAGAATCGTTAACGCAACAGTCGTCGCACGTATTTACGAAAGAAAAAATACGAAGAGTGAATGAATAAGTAATGGAGTCGTATTATTGATAGTTGAAGAATGAATCGAATAGCGAGAAATCGTTGTCATATAATAATATTATTGCACAGGTTGTGCCTGAAGAGAAAAGGGGATCGGAAATGAGCTAGGATTCGCCGAAAGTTAAATCGAGAAAATCTTGAAAAGGAGATGATGGAAAAAAGACGTCTGTCTCGATGTAAAGGAACGTATAAAGAGAATAATTACTACAGACACTTATTATACACCTCTATAGTCTATTTAATAATATTACTTATTGAATTGTCAATCTCATGTTCACCTTGTTTCATCGTTTTTAAATAGTTAATAAACGTTTTACCAATTTTAAATCTGTTTCAGAGAATCATCCATCCTTTCTTTCCTTCGAACATGACTCCTCAAATCTGATTTATCCTGATTTTTGAAATTAGAAATTTTTCACGATTCGTGGCTAACAATGGAGGGCAGGTGTCCGTAAAGAAATCAAAAAAGCGTTGAGATCGGTAAAAATACTTGTTTTTATTACATCGATAGGATAACTCGTTACTGTTATTAGCGAAAAGAAAATCACGAGTCGAGTTCATTACGAAAATCGAGTTTGTCGGTCGGTTGTGACTTGTTATTCGATAAATTTGACGGTACAGAACAATGATAAATGACGATGACAATAATAATACTAATTAATCAATATAATCATAACTCTTTCTTCTTTTTTGTTTTTCTTTTTTTTTTTCTTCTTTTCTTTTACTTCCTTAATTTCATTCTTTAGACGAATCACAGAGAGAATTTAATTTGTATTCTTTCTCGCATTATTTTTTTTTTTTTTCTTTAACATTATATATCCATTAAACTAAACTTCTGAAATAAAATATATATATATGTATGTATATATATACATATATATTTATATATTTATATATATATAATATATTTTGTTCTTTCTCACATAAAATTCCTTCTTCTCATAAAGCAGCAGCGTTTTGTTTTTTTTTTTTTTCTTTTAACACATTTAGAAGTATCCTCGAATATAATATAGTATAAATTACAATGGAGGAGGAGGAAACGTTTACAGCTAAGAAAATGTACATTCATAGTTCGGTATTATGTATATATCGTACAATAAAAAAAGCGGATAGTCGTGACAGTAGTAGTAATAGTTAATAGTATTGGTAGTGGCAAATAGTAATAGTAATAGCGGTAATCGTAGTATTCGTAATAGTAATCGGTGACCGGTAGTAGTAATAGTAATAGTAATTAATAATTAGTAGCGGTAGTAACTGCGATAGCCCCTATTATATTGCGAGAAAGTGTTTTTTTATCTTTTGTGTCTGTTCGTGTTGTGTATAATATATACATACGCCTTTAAACAGCATATTATTCGATTATTTCTCCGCTGAAATTACAATATTCTTTCTCAAGTTAACTCTAAAACGCTTTTGTTTTTTTTTTCTCTTTTTCCCTTTCTTATACAATTACACGTGCGTAAATGTGTGTTATACGCGACTATAGTAATTATGAACAAGTGTCGTGTTCTTCCTGGCTACTTATATTATTATTCGATATCTACTTTACATTTTAAAGGTACATTACACGTACAGTTATTTTCTTTCTGTCTCAATTCACCCTCGATCTACATATATATCAACTTTCTCATTTTCTCTCTCCTCTACATATGTTCTCCTTTTCTGAATCTCATTTCAAACATTCTTTTTCTTAAACAGCCACGATCGATGATGCACAGAAATTGCCATCTGCAAGAGAACCCGGGACTCTTCGATGCACACATACGGCAGATGACGTTAGATTTTTTATTCGAAAATATGTATGTACACGTGTAAACATCACGACTCGTCTACGACATTAATCGGTAATATTCGTTTAGAAATCGTCAGCTAAATAAAATTAAAAAAAACGAGAAGCGAGCGAGCGACCAGTCATCGATCGATCTCGATCTGGAACGATCGTTCAACGTACGAAACGGTATCTCTCTTTCTCTCTGTCTACTGTGTACATTATGAGGAAATAACAATATCTTGACGATCGTTTTACAGATCAATCGAATATTTTTACGATGCCTGGTCGTATCCCTGTTCGAATCGATGCAACGCATAGGATATCGAGAATACGCGTACGGATATTTCCCTGAGACTGATCAGAACGACTAATCCTCTGTACACGGAGTCAAAATGAAAGCGCGTAAGCATGCTTTTGTTAAACAACTCATAGAAGCTTGTGTCTATGATACAAGTAGAAATTTTTTTTTATTTTTCAACATTCTATTTCGACACATGCTTCGACACGCTTCCGAAGATATAAGTACATAGAGATCGGTTCCATCGACGCATATAAATGAAAAAAGTCTAATTTAAATGCATCAATGATCCTTTGAACACGTTCACTGCTGAACATGATAATCTTCAACATATTCATTCTATCTTCTTTCGCTATAATATATATACATATATATATATATATTTAATAAACGTAAAAATGTAAACACTTATATTAAATCGATAACAAAAAATTGATCAATTGGATTGCACCAATCCGATAGATGAAACTTTAAACAAAAAAAAGAAATTTTCAACATAACGATACGTGATAACGATGAACATGATAAAAAAAAATAGAAATAGAGTAGAACTAGGCAACAGTGAACGCGTCGTATTTTCTCAGTTCCAACGAGCTAACAATTGAATATTATCTGTAAAATAAATCGCTAATTCGAGGATCAATCATCGCGAATTCGATGAGAATTATTGCACACTGTGTCTATTACACGGTCGATCCATTTTCTTACGTTTCTCAGACCTAAGGGGCGCTGATCGATCGCGTTTAATCAGCAATCGTTTAACAATAAGTGGACTCGCGAAATTGCACATCCCAAGAAAACAAGAAAAAAAAAAAATAACGTAAATGCTCCATATTTCGACGATTAATAAACGTTTGCTTAAATCTATATTTTTGTGAACGCGTAACCGAATTATACTTTATATAATCGACTTATTATTACTAATAAAAAAAAAAGAAGAGAGAAAGAAAGGAAGACAGAGAAAAAACGAAATTAACAACGCAGTAATAATTCGATAACTCGTATGTTTTTCAACGTTTGTTCTCTGTTAATTTAACGAAACAATCATAATCGATTCAATCGAGAACGCACGCAGTTACCATTCACAGTTTCAAATTCTCTTCGACAATGAGTATCGATTCTTTCAATACGAATAATCGAGTGAATGAAAATAAGCGCATGGACGCCTATCAGATTCCAAAATATTCGCAAGGATCGTTCAAATATTATTCCGCTTTCGAATTGAATGTTTGAACGAATTATTATACAAGATCAGGACAGTATGATATCATTGAACAAGATAATAATCTTCATATTGAAAAACCATTATTCAGGACTCGATCATCCATCCCATAAAAATATCACCGTGTAGAGAACATTTGTCAATAAATACTGCTAAATAGTGTCAGAAAGCACTGATTATTGAACGATCTTCCTCTATCGTAAGCTTAAACGTACTTTTCGCACCTTGTATTCGACCCCGGTTGCCTCGTCAAGCGGAATCGGAGAGGAAAAATCTGGCCTCTATCGAACGAGAGACTCGAAACAGCTCAAACGAGCGACTTTTCACGGCGAACAAGATTTTCAGGTTCACGTTCAATCCGTGGCAGCTGTCTTGTTACCCTGTCGCGTTCTGGGTTGTCTCTTAGGCGACACGCTCGAGCTCTTTTTCGGAAGTTCCCTCGAGGCGGAAGTCGACGGTTTAGCCTGGGGTGATGACTGCCCCAGAGGCGCCTCCTGTCACCTCAGGCTGATCACCACCTTCTCCACGTTCAACAGAGACCTTACTTTATCGTTGTACTTGATCAGAGTCACCTTAGACCCCCTCACGTTGATTCGTTCGCCACCACTGAGCAAATGGCAGCAACGAGATTGTTCCAGAAAATCTTGAAGTTTTAATTCTTTCATCACGTCACGATGGGCAATGGCTGGTGGACCGGAGTGAGCTTTTGGATTTATTTGACGGAGTAACGCGTCTCTACTCTTTATTCGAAGAGCTGCCATCAAGTCTTGGAGGAGCATCCATTTATCCGGATCGTTGGTGAGAGTGAAGAGAACTGGCAGATTCACATCACCCATCTCTACCTCGATCTCATCTAGTTCGGGCTCTGGGCTATCCATAGGAGGATCGTCAAGGGGATTGTAACCGGTTTCTTCGAGGTCTGAAGGAATAAGTTGCTTTTAATTTTCTGATATTCAATTGATATGTTCGAATAGTAAACTATATTGAAGATAATTCTAATTTTAAACTTTTTAATTTTGTATAATTGCAAGCTTGAAAGATCGTAATGCATATATATATATACACACATAAAATATAGAAATAGAGAAAAAGTTTTGAAATATTGCCAGAGATGTATATAAAGAAGAATTGATAAACCACGAAAAGAATAGAATGACGAAAACATGGAATCGAGGAAGATATTAAAGAAAATAAGTTGGACAGCCTGGGAAGAGATTAGATTCTTAGAAAATTAGGACGTACCAAAAATAGACGATGGACCGCCAAAAGACCACGGTGTACTCGCGCGACCCTGGATATCGTCTAAATGTTGTTCTAGGATCGAATAGGCATCGGTATCTGCTGCTAACATTAGCGGGGTTTGTCCGGAATAAGTGGCTAATAAGGGATCAGCGCCGTAGGAAAGTAATAGGCGTACGAGTTCGGTAGCACCATTTTCAGCTGCCTCGTGAAGTGGTCTGTGATGAAAGCACATCGTGTTTCAATATATTTTTGCGCAATTTAAATTTAATAAAAATGAAAAGAGGGGAAATAAGTTTATAAATTCGAGTTTATTGATCACCTTATTCCACCATTGGCACTTTCACTCGCATTCGCACCGTATGCGAGTAACAATTTCGCGATTTCGAGATGACCTTTGGAACACGCTTCGTGAAGAGGCGTGTAACCCGCGTTATCCTTCGGACTCGGCGCGTTATTCAGCTTTTCCAAGCAATACGCGGTGACATCCTGTGTCCAACACGAAGCAAAAATGCAATTTAGATTCAAATGTTTACCAATGAATATTTTACACTGGGTCGTCATTGAATTTTCAACGTCAGTGAATTATTTTTCAATAAATATTTACCGTATAACCGAGTCTGGCGGCACGGTGCAGCATCGTTTCACCTACACCTTTTTTGATCACCCAGGTTCTAATTTCCGACTGAATATCTGCTACGCACTCTGGACTGGGTCTTGTTAACACTTGCTGTAAAGCAAATATTCTAATGTGAATAAAAAAGGTATGAATATTCACGCTATTGAATCCATTGAAAATTATTTATTCGGCAAGAATACCTAGAATTAAATATACAGTCAATTTTATATATAAACTATTAATATATTTAATATATCCTTTTATATATATAGCTTTATTATATAGCTTTTGGAAGGATTTTTTTTTTCGATTTGAAAGAATCTATCATATAATTTATATATCATAATATAAGTTGTTGAAAATCGAATAATCTGAAAACATAGAATTTCTTAAATAAAAAAATAACAATTTATTATATAATGATTCTGCTACGAATTCTTTTATTTGAACGAATTCTATTGATCAAAATATCATTATTTATATATAAAAATACTCTTACAAAAACTCACCCTTTTTCTTTCCTTGGTAACGTCTCATCCTTCTTCAAAGGTTTTTTCTTCTTGCGAATGTAATCGAACCCGGAGCGGAACTTCCGCCTGCTTGTTCGCAGTTTAAGCTTCTTCTTATTAGGAACTTCTGATTCATTGATCTCGTCATCGAGCTCATTGTTCTCCGTCTCTTGCGCATCATTTGTTTCCTCCTGTGCTGGCTCCTCTTCCGTCTCAGTCTTTAAATGTCGCAGCTTCTTCTCGGCCAGTGATTTCAACAAATCCTTCCGCCTCTTCATCAACAGATGATGCTTCGAGTTCATGATCGCCTTGTGACTCCTCAAAATACCAGCGTTCTTCAGCCTCGAAACCACCTTCTGCTTCAAGGTTCTTTCTTTGCTCAATCTATTCTCTGGTGTTTCGTTCTGAGAATCGTCATCTTGAGAGGTGTCATCGTGATTCTGCATAGGTGGTGCCGAAGCTGGCCTGTCCTCGCCGAAAACTTCTCTAATTGTTGCCTGTTTCTTCAACACCCTGGTCTCTGTCCTCGTTCTACTTTTAAGCACCAATGTGGAGAACTCGTTCGGCAAAGCGTGGTTATTCTTAAACGTATCACGGAAGTTGTTCACAGTTTCCTTGCGGAAACCGAACAGGAACGAATCTGTCATTTTGATAGCTTTCAATGACTTGTCCTTGACAGGTGATTTACCCTTCGGCGATTTGGACGATTCCAACAAGGGCGTGAGACTCGGAGTAGGGAGCAATTCAGGCTCGTTGTTGCCTTTCTGCGGCGTTTTATTTGTACCTTTGTCCAACTTCTCCTTCTGTTTCCTCTTCTGCTCTTTCTTGCTGGTACCAACCTTCTGAGCCAATACATCAACGATGGAACTGTTCTCCGACTTCGAGTGCTTCATACCTTTGGGCGGACACGAGATGGTCGTAGACGACGTAGCTTCCTCATCGTCGATCTTACTTCCTATTCCAATTCCCGTTGTACTGAAACTATAATTGGACTCCACGTCGCTGTCAACCAACTTCTTCCTGTTCAGATACACATCAGAACTGTCCATGGAGACAGACAAGGCTGGAGAACCGGGATCCAAATCGGGCAGCGAGGTAGACAACCTGTGAAACCTAGACGGCTTCGACACGGTAATCAATCTAGGTGGCATCCTCAAAGATTTCTTGTACACGTAAACTTCCTCCTCCCAGCCAGGCCTAAAATCGCTCCCGTCTCCGAAAAGAGGCTTCGGTTTACCTTTTTGGGAAGAAGTCTTCGAAGTGGATGATTTGGATTCCTTCTCGGACTTGGATTTTTGCGGCGTCGCGTCTCTGGATCTAAGCTTCATCCCTTCGGATTCTGCGCTACTGTTGGCGCACCGTTTCCTAGCCCTAAGCCTGTCAGCCACGGAAGAACCGTGACCAAACTCCGTGCTGCCATCGCTCTCCTCGCTCGAAGATTCGCTACCACTTGATGACTGCAATTTAATTCTGCTTCCTCTGCGCACCCTTCTCTTCCTGCATATTATCTCCTCCTCGCAATCACTGTCGTCCTTCTTCGTCTTCTTCTTCGTTCGTCGAATCAGCGGCACTTCGTCCGAATCGTCGCTGGAATTCTTCTCCTCGTCGTCCTTGCTCATCTCTGGCTCCGTCTTCACCTCAATCTTGATATTCTTCATTTCCGACGATTCGTCATCTTTCGTCGCTTCTGGAGACTCGTCCTTGCTGTCCATGGGCGAATCGTCATCTTGAATCTCCTTTTTGATGTCCTCAGGTTTGATCTGAGACGTGTTCGCGTCCGACTCTTTGCTGCTGTCGTTCCCACCGTCATCGAGCTTCGAGGTTATAGTGCAACTGACCTTTTTCTTGCGACCACGCTTCTTCATCGCGTCGCCGGTTCGTAGCTGTTCCATAAACTTGTCGCATGTGCTGGACCAGAACGAGTCCACTTCGGTGATCTTGTCGTTCTCCTGAAAACGGTAAACGGATCAATCTAACAAATGCAATTGTTGCATCGAGAAAAAATATGCGTGGCAAAGAAAAATAATAAATTAGATACATAAATGAGAAATGGCATCAAGAATCATAGAATTTATCGATGATATATTCAGAAATAATTTTCATTGTACATTTTCTAACTACATTGAAAAATACCTCGCTCTTCAAAACTATTGGTAAATTATTCATTGCTATATTTGATTTACCATTCATTTTATACCAATAATTGAATTTGTAGAAATGAAATCTATACATTATTTTTGTATACCCAGGAGATTAATCTTTTTCAGACTGATGCAATATTACATCTCAAACTAATTATTACAATTAACTTTAGAATTGTTAGAATTTATTTTGCACTACAAAAAGACATAAGCAAAACATTATATTCTAACAGAAGTGATGTATTTTTTTTCAAACAATCTTACGAATCGTTCAAGATGATCTAAATCCGATTAAACAGTCATTGCTTTTCAAGGCTGTTCGACCAAACAGGAACGAATCACGGGAGAAACATCCATACGCAAATAACGTTACCTTCAATTCTATTTTCACGAGATCGGACGATGAGGTCATGCCCATGCACATGGCATCGTTCAGTGGAACGGGTGGCTGCACCTTCGACAGCTGTTTTCTGTCCCTCCTCATCTCCTCGAGCGTTTGCCGCTCTAGAACAGGCATCTCGCCTTCGGAATCGCTCTCTCTGAAGTCGAACACCGAAGTCTCGGACGAACTTCTGAATCCGCTGGCGCGCGCCGGCACGCTCGAAGCGATCGCAGGCTGTGGCGCCGGAACTGGAACCGTCGCGGCCACCGGCATGTTCTCCTCTTCCGTTCTGGAGAACAGGCGTCTTCGGGGCGGTAAACAGGCCACCTTCTCGCGAGTCAACTTTGGAGGACTGCCTGCGGACGAGCCTGATTGAGGTGTCGATGTTGATGCGGCGCTGTCTTGTTCTGAAAGTGGATTTTTTTGAGTTTTTGAAAAGATATTTAAAGCGAAAAGTATTACTATTTGAAATTATTGTTTATTGTATATAATATAATCAAAAATCAATATAACTTTCCTATAAACAAATCAAGATAGATTATCAGTTAAAATTTGAAACGTTACAAATTATTTTAACGAAGCAGCTTGAAAAATGAAGAAAATCAACATTTCATACAAGAATATATTTATAGAGTATCGATCTTCGAATAAATATATTAACCTTTCAACTTCCGATAATTTCCTTCTTTACAAAAACTAATCGACTAATTACCTTTACTCTTTTTAATTTATCATTGACGTGTAAAATAAAATAACAAGTTTCGATAATAAATAAAAGTTACTTTGTAGGATATATCTGTTGTAATTATTAAAATAAAAACAAACAATTTGTTTTGCAAGATGAGAAAACAAAAATAGATTTGGATTTTCACGGAATCAGAAACAGAAAGAATCCGATAAATCAACGGAATCTCGAATCTCTACCTTTCGGAGTGGACGATGCATCCTGAGACGGTACATTGGTCGGTTTCGTTGCAAATTGGCCGGTCCCCACCTTCAAGTATCGAAAATAAAAAAAAAATAACATGTTTTATTAACAATCCACGAGTCGAAATTAATTAAAGATTTAAAAAGAAGAAAAAAAGAAAAAACAAGAAAGAAAATCGAATTAAATACATCACATATAAGTTCACCTGTTTCAGTTCCGCCTTCGTTCTGATTTTCGCTGCCAATATGGCGGCGAGGCCGTCGTCTTTGTCACGGTGAATCTGATTCTCGGCTCCTCGGGGTCCCAGGAGTGCCTCCTTGCCAGGTAGCGTGGCGGATGAATTTACTCTCGAGCCGTACAAACTACGGGGGGCCTCCTGAGTGATCGAGTCTACCGCTCTCGGCACATGGAACTTGTAATGGGGCGGCGTGTTGCTGTTTCGTTCCAGTAAGCTCGCAGCCGTGAATGGTGACAGGTTGTGCCTTCCTATGTTCGTTTTGGGCTCGACCGGTGCAACAACCTTTGGGAATAGGGAACACAACGCGTTAGAGTACGATAACGGACAGTTCTCACCGCTTCTGAGACCACCGTTGGAACGTCACTTGTTACATCCGTCATTCCCCCGGATATGATTCTCAAGGAGGAGAAGGATGGTCGAATAGTTAGTTTGACGTTCGACTGGCAGATTTTGTGGAGAAGAGTCGAGATTGACGTATCGAGAAATTTTGAAACGAAAGGAAGGAAAAAGGGAGGAGGTAAAAATCGAGATAAACGTTAAAATGTGCGAGATAGAAATACAATAAGAATTTCTCTAAGAGATAAGATGTAAAAGGGAACGAAGAAATTGATATGTTCGTTTCGAGAGCGACCGATTTATCCAACTTCTCGAGAATTTCAAGCTTGGAACAAGTTTTATATTTTCACGAAGCTCGACTGTTTATCTCCCGAAGCATACTTCGCTTCGAAGTAACTTAATATCCCTTAACTCGGAAGCTTTCAAACTTGCTCCAATTAATATTAATCGAAAGTTTATACCCTCAAAAACAACTTCGCTTCCGGTAACAAATCGAAACTCTGGCCCACCACCACCATCATCACTCTCACGCTATTACATCGAGCACGTACCTTATTTTGGAAACTTTGTTGACTATGATTAGCCAGGATAGGTTGCTGACTGTTCATCTGCTCCTCCCTCTGTTGCTTGTTCTCCAGACTGTTCCTCAACAAGCTGAGCACCCTTTTATCAGCACCAGTGTTGCTCGGCGGCTCCGCGTTCGTGGCCTGCCCCCCGGAAGTGGCACCACCACCACCACCACCACCACCACCACCGGCACCACCACCTGTTGGCGGCCCGCCACTTTTCTGACTCTGCCTGTAATTCGGGTACACGGACGTTTGCCCGGCTTGGGGCACAGAATGAACGTTCGCAGGTTTCGTGATCACCGGGTGAACGTAGGGCGGCGAGGCGTGAGTGACCTTAGGCTCCGCGTAATTCCTCTTATCACAGTAAGACGGTTGCTGATACCTGGACGACGCCGACTCGGACGACGCGTAACCGTTATCCGACCTCTGCTCGTAACTATTTTGCGCGACCAAGGTTCCATTAGGCAATGGGACAGGCAGGCTCATCTCTTGCCTCTTCTGTTGCTCGTAGAGGGCTTTCGCGGTCGACAATCTCTGCTGGATCCACGTGTCCAGCCTTGGCTGTTTGTTCGGCCCCCCAGCCCCGTATATCGTCTCTCCAGGCCTCTTCGAGGGAGCGGTGGCAGTGGTGGTTCTCTCCCTCTGCGGCGGTTGGCCGAACTTGCTGCTCCTGCTGTCCAAGTAATATTTCGACGAGTCGGACGGGTAATCCTGAATGGGAAGCGCCGCCGGCCCTATCCTTGCCGGGTCCATCATCGGATACCTGGAGGATCTGGAGGCGTTGGCGGTGTCGTTGCTCGTCGGGTAGGAGGACGAGGGTGGCGGCGGAGGCGGCGCCGGCTCGTAAACCTGCGTGGTGGGCAGTGAAGTCTTCTTGAACGTGGACATGTGGGGCAGTGGAGCGGTATTATTAGGATGCTGCGAGGGAAGAGGCTGCGGGGGCGGGGCGTAGAGCTGCTGCGTCGTGCTCCTCCGCTGAAGAGTATTCTCGTGCTGTTGGCCGTGATGGTGGCGCAGCGGCGCGGAATTGAAGTCCGGCAAGAAATCGACCTTAGGCGCGCACACGGGCGTGGACGTTCGTATACTGCTCGTCGGCGCTAAATTTCTCGCGTTACCGGCCGACAATCTGTTGTCATAGGCAGGAGGGTAGGAGGCCGGTTGCGGAGGAGGGGGTTGCGGGGGTGGCGGAAGCATGGTTCTGGAACTGTTGCTTCTCGAGATCACCGAGCTGCTCACGTGCTGCTTCTCCATCGTCGGCATCGTCTCGATGTCGTCCTGGGCGGTCGAGTCCGCGGACGTTTTCACCGTTTTCACGGACAGGTCCAAAGGGGATTCCCTTTTCCTCACTCCGTTCGTCTGGGGCGACGAGGTTGCTATGGAAGGGGCGGCGGCGGCGGCGGCGGTGGTGGTGGATTGGATCGTAGGCGCGGTCGAATTTTGATACGAGGGGTACTCTTTGTACCCGTAATCCTCGCTGCCTCTTACTGGTTGATGGTGATAACCCGTGCGATTCCCGTCCGACGTCTGGTAACCGTGTATCGTCGTTGCTGGAACGGAGGATCTGGACGCTGAGTGGCCTATAGAGGTGACGGTGGTGCTGGAGGAGCTATTGCTGCCCTGGTGGCTGGGCGCCATGGTGGTGGCGTAGGTCGGGTAACCGTGTTGCGCCGTGTATCTGCTGTACGAGGAATTCGTCACCGTGTTCGTCCTTCCGTTCACGGGCATCGCGTGATTGGACATGGCCGACAGGGTGGCCGGATACTCGGGCGGTATCCTTTGAGGCGCGGCCATCGAGGACGCGGGCGGCGTCACCACCGAAACTTTGTTCGTTGTCGTTCCGTAGCCGCGTTGCCTTTGCGCCGACTGCGCTTTGCTCGCGGATTCCCGCCTGTTGGAATGATAGGACGACAGAGCGGCGATGGGTGGAAGGTTGTGCGTGTTGGTGCTCCTCTGCGCGCCGGCCGGCGTCTGGGGGCCCCTGTACGGGGCGTAGGGCACCTCGATCGAGCTCCTCTTCGCGTCGGCCCCGTTGTACGTGACCGAGGGTTTGCTCGGCTGATAAGAGACGGTGCCGTTCGCGTTTCCGTTTCCAGAGCAGATCGACTGGGCCGGTATCGACATCTGCTGGACGTACGCCTGGCTCTGAGATCGGCTCGATTGCGAATAATAGTTGGGCTGCGTGTGTTGCGCCGGTTGGGGGCTCTTTTGGTAGGAATGATACGAAGATTGTGGCGGCAATCCGTACGGATTCGCGGCGTAGCCGGCCGCGCTCGGCTGCTGATAGTGCTGCGAGGTGATGGGTGGCAGGGTGTAGGAGTGAGGGGTGGAGTGAGAGGTGGCCGGGGGCGGAGGGGGAGGATAAGTCGGCGAGTGCGGCTGGAAGCCGCTGTGCGGGGAGGCGTGTGATGAGGAGAGGCGTGAGGATTGTGCAGGGTGGACACGTGGGGCGATTGTCTGTGGGGCGATGGGGTGGCGTGATGCGGAACGTCGTGGGGCGAGGCGACAGGGTGATAACCGCCTAGAGCCGCCGGTGGTGGCATTTGATTCGAACTCGAGGAGGTGGAGGAGGAGGAGGAGGAGGAGGAGGACGAGGAGGGTGCGGACGTCCGTGTACGATCATTCGGCCCGCGTACGAGTTGGACGCCATCGAATGGGGAGACGCGTTTATTCGACTAGAAGCTGTTGCTGGTGCGGCTGTTGAGCGTGCTGATGGTGAGGCGGAGGTATCATGCTCCCGGCGGATGGCAAGTGAGACGAAGGAATGTGCGCCGGAAGATTCTGGTAGGGCGACGACGACGACGACGGCGTGGACGAGGAGAGCGACGACGTGGACGACGACGACGAAGACGAAGGAATGTGACTCGAGGGATTGGCCGTGTGGCGGGGACTGCACGGGTTCACCGACGAGCAGGACGGAGACGAGGAGACGCGCGAGTTATGCGATCTTTCCTGATGTTGCGAGGGCCTGTTGTTGTCCATCGCTTGGCTGTTCGACGACGACGATGACGACGACGACGACGACGACGACGACGACGTCGGGTTCAATCGATTCTGATGCTGCGTCGCGCGATAGTTGTGCGTCCCCGAGGACGAGCCATAAATCGAGCTACTCGACGCCGGGACAGGGGCGTTGTTGGCGATGTACGAGCTAGGCGGCACCCTCTGCTCCTGCCCTTGGCCTTGCGTGGAAGAGAGGTTGCTCTGCTCGACCGGCGTCGGCCTCGTGGCCGGTTGCACGTTCCCCGTCGACGTGGACGCCGCGGCGACCGTGGACGATTGATAGATGGAGTTCTGGGTGAACGGAACCGGGGCGCTCTTTGTTATGTCCGGATGATGGTAGCGGGGGTAATATTGGGTCCTCTGCGCTACGACCGGCGCCGCGCTCGACTGCGATTGTCGATCGTTGGCAGTTTGATAAGTCGGTTGGTGCGTCGAGGCGAATATCTCCGCGGTTGAGTACGAGGTCCTGGAGACGGGGTTCAATTGTTGGTAAACGGGGCCCGGGGAACTGGGCTGTTGCGGTGGTTGCATTTGATGCAGATGGGGCGAGGTCGGCGCGGTCGGTTGGTGATGGTGATGATGATGATGATGATGATGATGATGGTGATGCTGATGAGGGTCGTTGTTGGACGACGAGGAGGACGTTGTCGGCTGTTTCTGAGCGAAGTTTGACGCTGAGGAGGAACGGCTGGAGGCCGACACCGGTTGCATCTCTGTTAGGGTGATGATGCTCGAGGACGAGGAGCTCGCCTCCATGGGGGATCCCTCCTCGCCTGGCCTCGTGTCCGGGACTTCGACCCTGGTCGGCTGGGGTGGATAAGGTTCGACGGATGGGCTCCAGAAGGTGCTGCTGCTCGCTGCGTTGTCCACGGACGATGGCCTGACATCGTTGAGATATCGGCTCGTTTCTTGATCGGAGGTGTTTGATCCGCTCGAAGCCGATTGCGACGGTAACGATAGTGGCGGTGGTGGTGGCGGTGCGGGTGGTGCCGGTGACGGAGGAGCCACGGACGAGGAGGTGCCATGGTCGTGCGACGACGATACGGACGAGGCGGAACTCGTTGATGTCGTGAGACCGTGATCCGCTGACGCGGTCGCACTACCTGTACTCGGTACCGGCAGTCCCTGGAAGTACTGGCGAGCCCCCTCTAATACGTTCGTGAAGCTCACATCCATGTCACGCCGACTGCTGATCTGCAATTAGAACGAATTATTATATTAGTACGAATTCGGTTTAACATTTTTTTTTTATGCGAAAAAAGAAATTATTTTGATCGTTTGATTCTTCATAAAAAGATAAACTTCGAATATTTCTCTGAATAAGTCGAAGTCATTTTGAAAACGGTACTGGAATGTATCGTTCGTTTCGATCGCTAGTTTGATGAAAAATGAAAATTTTCGAAAGGATCTTAAAAATAAAAAAACATTTAATAGAATGGATTCTTTGGAAATTTCGTGTATTGATATACTTCGAGAATGTTTAATTTCTTTTGTGTTTCGAACGTTGCTTATCGATCTTACGAGAAGAGAGGTGTATTCCCCGAGGGTTTCTCACGCAGATGAGACATTCGAAAATAAGGCAAGTCTCATAAACCGCAACGAGCGATCCCGAAGATTAACGAAAACTAAGTTCGCACGGTGCTGTCGACTACCAGGCTAGGGAACCAGGTCGAAACATTAATCTTCATTGTCTTGTATTTGTCCGTTACGAACGAATGCTTCTCCTCCTCTCTCTCTCTCTCTCTGCCTGCCTTTCCATCGTTCCTATTTTCTCCAACCACCGACTCGAAGCGTGATCTCGCGTTATTAATCTCGTTGAAAGATAAGATCATCGCGCGGAACTGCAAAGGGGAGCGAGACGAGATTCTTCAGAGAGACCGATGACGAGTTACGATCCTAAACGGTCGGAATTGATAGAGAAACCTCGTCTCGTGCCTCGATTAAACGCGGCTCGGTTCATACACCTGATAAACGGCGGCGAGGAGATGGAGGAAGGCAAAGGGAATTCAAATTAGACAATTTACTCTTGCATTAGAGCTATACACGCTCCAAGTGTATATATTATATTCGTAATATGAATAAATGGAAAACATTATCGATAATTAAACATCATTCCAATTTTATATTTCTAAATATGTCAAATGAAAATTAACAATGTTTCTTTCCCCCCAAAAAGAATGTATTTAATTATCACGACCCACCAATAAGCCACATCTTCGTCAAGTGTCGCTGATTCAACATCGTCATTATTGATCCACGTCATCCCCAAAATCGAGCGTTCAACTCGAACAACAACGACTCGCAACGGAATAACAAGGAAGACCGTCCCCATTTATCAACGTCCATATCACGATTCACATTTCCACCAGCAAAACTCTCTCTCTCTCTCTGTGTAACGAGGCATCAACGGGGGTCTCCCAATCCCATCGAACGGCGATCGAGGGGTGATCGAAGATAGAACCCTTTATCCTCCCTCGAAACATCGATTATTACCAGAGCGAGAGACGTTTGCGTAGAGAGGTACGATTGCGATCGTTCTGCGACGCTCATCGAGACGAACAGTTGGCCCGTGTACAGAGGCATCCGCCATGATTCGCGCGTACAGGTAGCACAACTAGCAAGTTGGTAGGCGAGAATCAATATCGCGCACCCTTGCAGACCGAGCAAGTTGAAGGGTTGGTTAGTTTGGTCCCCCTTCGCGCGCCCTCAAAGGCCCTCCTCGAACCATCCTCTCCTCGCTCTCTGCCCTTCCTCCTCCGCGACTTCCTCTCATTTTTATTCCAGGCATATTCTCCTAAACGCGCTGCGTTTCCATGGAGTGATCGAAATAATTGTGAATTATATTGCATATCCTTTGTTCGTTTGTTCGAACGATGCGAGATTTAAAATGAAAAGAAGGCGAGATATTATAATTTGGAATAATAATTGGAAGATTTTTCAGCACGTTGATTGTTAAATATTGCGTATAACGATGTATGTATTTAAAAAGGAAAATGAATGAGATGAAGGAAGATTTATTTCTATACGTTGAGATGGAATGCAAAGTGGTAAATTCAATGGAACGGAATGGACGAACAACAAAGTGTTTGGCAAGTATACTTCATTTGATTTATTTTCTCAAGCTTCTTAAAAGTTTCACAATCGCGAAGGAATCTTATTGCCCGAGATATAAGAGTTTTAAACGTTTTCAACGGAAGAGTCCACTTACAACCGTGGACAAAATTAAGTGGACATATCTAGCGAGCAACAAAAAGCTAATTCGTTTACGAACTCGTGATTTAAATTTTATTGAACAAGTTGACAAAATATAAATATGAAACACGAAACGCGCAGCATTAAAATTATAATGAAAAGAATCGCGTTTTTACTTGCTTCAAATTATTTGTTTCCGGAATGATAGTGGCTTATTTATACACTTTCTTTTGTACTTTAGTAATGGTTTGCTACACAATTCTTTAAAACCTACCTCTTTTAATCTTCGTCTTACGGTTCTTGAAGATACGTTTAATTGCAGCTGTTCAACGATAGTTTGAGATGTTATCGTTGGATTACGTCGAGATATTCCGACAATTCTTCTATCTTCGTACGCACTTGTGTCACGTTTCCGTCCTCGACCGCGTAAATTATCAACCCTGCCATGTTCCAAATACTTTTTATAAATTTTATGAACACTACTCTTGGAAACGTTATATTTTCGGGCAATATAACGGTAGCTTTGATTATTTTTGCAATCAGATACAATTAGATTTCGTAACTGAGCACAAACTTCTTGTTTTCTATTAGCCATGTTTATTCAATAATATTGAAGTTTCCAATACGAAGGCTTCACGAATACTGACGATCCAATACATTTGGGAGGTAATCTCAATATTTGTTTACATTGTTTTTCCGTTAACGCGAAACTCTCTACGTGTCCACGGAAGTCTAAAGTTCACCGATACAAACAGATACGTATAAATAATTATAGAAATTTGATTTTATGATTTTATTCGTATATACGTAGTTACATTTTCGAAAAAATTATCGAAAAATTCAAATTTATTCCCATCATTGTATCTGAACGATGAATTTCCATGAACGTAGTGTCCACTTAATTTTGTCCACGATTGTGTATATAATAGAAACATGTTTCCACGCGTATCTGGAACTCAGTCATCCCGAGCATCCGTTCAAATACAACTTTTAAAAAGACAGTCGTTCGAGCTTTTCACATTACTTTAAATGTCTCGAGAATATAACGATGAGAATAAACTTCTTCTTATTTCTTCTTGAGAAACGAAGGATCGAGGATTATACCGATTGTAAATCACGTATGGAACGAGTTAAGAGTAATTTATATTCATAAATTGATATTTTAAAAAAGAAAAACTTCCTTTGCATATCCTTTATTCAGTTGTGTTAAAATAACTTATGTATTTCATAGCTGGACTATAGACGTTTAACGAAATTCAAATTTCCATCGTCAAGAAGAAGTAGAAATAAAAATTCAATATGAATATTTTAGTTGAAATATTTTATATATTATATGTAAATTTTTGCACGTTTAAGTTTGGTATACCTTTCGTCATTTATAAATAATTTTGCAAGCAATATTCGTATTGGTATATTTTCAAATATCTCTGTTTTCTTTAATGCCCACGTTAATTAGATTTTTCATCGAAAGGAAATTGTACAGCTTTGATTTTCGAATATTCCACGAGATAGAAAATTATTTTATCGCGACAAAATGTGATACACTGGTGGACGATAAACGTGCAGAAATGAATACTCAAATGGCAAAGAAAAGATCGAGATGTTTCAATTCTCGAACATTTCTCGGACAATCTGATTCTCTCTCCCTTTTGCCAGGGTCTCTGGAGAAATCAGAGTTTCCGACGAATCGACTTAGGGAATCCTCGCTTGTTGAATTCGATAAGAGAGATCTTTGGAAATCCATCAGGCTTGCGATACACCTATTTATTCGCAGTTGGGCTCAACCATCATCGTAATAGAACCAGTGTAATTTCGTTAGAACTCCTCTCGAGCAAACTGTTCCCCGATATAATTGGGTCATCTGGTTTCTATAACGCGCTCACGGATGGATTTAAGACGAGATAAAACTGCAGAATCGCGATTTCTGGCGCGTTGATTCTTATCGATCTGTAATTAAGCGTAATTGCGAGTTAAACGCGGCACTCCTTTTGCGAGAAAGTTTCGAGTTTACTCTCACTACGAGATCCCTTCTACGGTGAGATTCTTCGGCAAATTTCAAGAATATCAAGATTCCGTGAAGTTCAAAATCTCCGAATCTTCGATAGTTCAACGTGGAAATCAAATATCAAGACATCTCTGATCCACGATGACAAGAAGTTAAACAAGCAAGCGTATGTATATACTCGATAGATTCCCTGAAAACTCTGTGGAAAGATTCGAATTTTCGAAGGCATGGAGAGTTTGGTCAAAAATTTAAAAATCGTTACCGAAAGTTTTCGTTATCGAATCACGTAAATCAATTTAGAATCTTTAATATACCATGTACTAATTAAAAAAAAAAAAAAAAAAGAACTGTTACAATATTCCTCCAAAGTTCTTTTGGAAATAAATATATTTATTTAAAATATGTAACTTATATCTTAAAGCTTGATTAAACGTTATTGAAATAACGAAAACTTTAAACCGCTATAACTTCGAAGATAACGGTCTCCAATTAATGGATGAAAGATCATTAGAAGCGCGGAATCTTCCTCTTTAAAACGCTCTTTCACTCATCTCGATACGACTTCCGGTTCCGAAGATATCGACGAATAAAGAAAAGATAATTTTCGATCGTTTACCTTAAACCCTGTTAAACCCGATTAAAATTAGAAAAAATTCGAGCCGCTGTAACTCCGAAGATAACGACTTCCGGTCAACGGATGAGCGGTCGTTGGAAGCGCGGGACCTTGCCCTTTAAAACGCTTTTTTATTTATCCCGATACGACTTCCGGTTCCCGAGATATCGTCGTGCAAGGAGAAGGGTAATTTTTAATCTTTTATTATCTTTGTCCTTGTCGCTTATTCGGACCTCTCGCTCGCACCTCGTCTCGCCGACCTATCCCAAGCTCCATACGAGTGACAGACGCGATTCCTGGAAAAACAGTGGTGCGCGTTTCCAGGAAAATATGTAGGTCAGTGGGTCGCGAATGGATCCGTCCATTCATAATTTATATTAAACT